TCGTGTCAAAAGGTAACAAAGCACACAAGAAACCTTAGTCATTAAAAATAAAAAGGAAAAATCCAACATAGCTGCAAGTGTGAGAGTGTAGAAACATGCCAAACAGATTTGCTGCAATTTCCATGTTGCTCAGGCATGCATAGGAACAAGCCACAAGTGGAGCCAAGGGTCATAAATTTATTGTGGAGGGAAGGGGATGAGGGGGGAGGGGAAAATTTATTTTCTTTTGAGAAACTTGGCCATATTTGGCAACACTTGTTGCAATGTGCTATGCAGATGAGGGAGCAAGAGTGTGTTTCCTGATGACTGAGCTGAATATTGAAGCAATGCCCAGTGGGCAGGAAGATCATGAGGGATTTCATAAAGCTATTGCACCCATCTATGCATTAACACACATTCCTCCTTTAATCAGCTTACTACACATGCATCACATACTGGGCTCTGATGCTACATGTCAACAAGTAAAGTGCTGATATGATAAGGCAATTAATCAAATCAGCAGAGCCCCCAGTCCAGTGATGTGACTCATGGTATGGACTTCTAGAGCATTATTTAGCAAGGCTGGACCTAGAATTCCTACGGTTCAAAGGCAGCAGCTGTAATCCAATGGACAGAAACGTGAGGCACTTGTTAGGTAAGCCAATAGGCAATGGATTGGCAATTCAGTCTGCCAGAGCTCATTCCTTGGTGATATTATGTTTTTGGAGAAATTCACAAGCCTTTGGAAACAGCAGCTGGAAAAAAAAAATTCCAAAACGGAGCTCAGCAGTTCATTCTTTAAGTCATGGAAGGGGCTTTTCCACTGAAGCAGGGGATTATTTTATACTTTAGTAAAGGTTGCATCAAGGACATTGGAAAAAAAAAATCCATGCTGTATTAAAGGTTTTTTTTTCAGAGAAATGAGCTCTCTAACCAGGTCCCATTACCTCACTACCCTCGAACATTTTCCTTGCTAAGAGACTATAATTTCTATCCTTTGGATGTATAAGCTGGAAATACTTGGGTTTATAGCCCCTATTTATGTTTCCATCATTCTGGCAGGGAAATACGAGATGGTAACTCTGGGCCAGAATGTGGCAACAAACACTGTGCACAAAATCCAGAACAGCTTTGTTGTTTCAAAGCTGTTCATTTTGTTTGTTGGCCTTGGCCTTTTGTTATGGCTCTAGACATGGCAAGGAACAGGCTTTGCTTTTGTGATGCAAGAGGCCAAGGCTTGGAAATGTTGTGATTCCCTCCCATGGCGCAGTTTTAAACCCAGGCGGGTTCCTTAATGTACTTGGCACCAACGGTGGTGTTTTCCTCCAGCAGCGAGATGCATAATGAGCATCAGAAGGGCTGCACTATCAATGCGCGGCTGATTTATGGAGCTCCCTGATGTCAATGGCGGTGAGGCAAGAGGGGACCCCCTGCTGAGGAACAGCAAGCAAATACTAAGCTTGGAAAGCTTTAGCTGCTCCATTTCTGCTGGACTTTCCATGCAGAAGGCACCGTAGAGGCAGACACAGATACTTACGCAAGACTATTTACCTTCCTAGGATCAGGACGCAGTGTGTCTGTTCATTACTGAACGGTGTGGTGCTCAAAGGGGCAGGAGCTTCAGGCATGAACCCCCTTCATTCATGTAAAGAAGAAATGGGTCTCTGCTATGGCTCAGGCCTTTTCTGCAGCTTGACTTAGGGAAGAACACTTACTTATAAGTACTTATACCCTATATGTAATGGTCTAGACCATTGCTCTGGTCTCCCCTGAAGAAGCCACCGTATTTGTGTATGAACATTGCCTCCCAACACCCAGGGGTGGGCATAAGGTGCGGAGGTGGGTAGAAGGCATGCTAACGAGTGTGGCCAGGAAGGGCAGGACCTGAGGTGGCTGGGAAACTGCCTTCAATGGCTTTATTTCTGCCAGCCAAAAGCTTAGAAAAAGCTCTTGTCTTCTTAGATCCTGGCAAAGGAAGAGTTTTTTCAACTTACAAGACGGACACAAGAATGCAGAATAAATGTAGCAAAGCCTATTCCCAAACTCTGCATCATGTAGGAAGGCAGAGCACTCTCTCATGCAGCAGATGAGAAGTGAATCTTTTTAAAGTGAAGGTGGACACTGAATGTCTCTTTTAAACTGTGTGACAATGACCATGTTCCCATGGATACTGAGGAAAAAGCAGAGGAGCGCAAGGCCTGGAACTAGCTGAGAATAAACATCAGCTAGAGAGCCATGGAGTCTGGGAGACGTCTGCAAAGGAGAAACAGAGACCAGTGGCAAAACGCAGCATTAAGAGGTTAGAAAGTTAGGCATGAAAAGGAAAACAAATAATCACAGTGGAAATGGCAACATGAACTCTAAATGACTGGGATTACTAGTGAACTGGGGAGAAAAAGAGCTTGATTGCTCTGCTGAAGAAGTTTCTTACTGTTTTGGTAGATTACTTTCACAGGCTACTGCTCATTTTCAGAATACAAGTCTTATTCTAACAAACAACTTTGAATTTGTATAGTTATTAGTTAAACTATTTTCTTTGCTAGTTCAATGCAACCCAGTAGGGTCAAACATGACAGAAAGTGGAAATCGTATGTAGAAAGACAGGTTATAGAGCCCACATTTGAAACACCATTGACTAAAACATTAGATCAGTCAAACTCAGTAGCACCTAATACACTGGGATCCTCAGTACCCAAGTCTGGCAGGACTAGGAGCAATGGCAGGAGTACATCATGCCTTTGGTTTTCGCTAGATCTGTCTGTTCAGTTCTTATACCACCACTGGTGACTCCTGACTACAAACCCCTGCGAAAGACAGGTTACAAGAATGGATTTGGTCACAGAGGGAATATAAGGGGGGCTGTCAAGCTTCAAACATGCAATGAGCAAGAAGACAGGGATAAATGGAACTAAAAGTACACTACAGATCTAAAACGTATTCCTACTGATCTCCACATTGGTGAAGTACCCTTTCCAGACTGCAGGGCAGAAACCTGCCTGAAGTCACGAATCTTCCTTACCATGATAACTAGACAGACGAACCTTCCAGGAGAAAACTGGACCCTGTCTTCAGCAGAAAACCCTTCCTCAGACCCCAGGGGATCGGTTCTCATTTACACTTTGGCTCCCAGCCCTCTCTGGCAAAAGAAAGGCCACTAAACTGCATGTAACATCTTCCCTGAGTGGCGTAGGGATATAAGAATCCTTTGTAAAAAAAACGTAGGAGACTGGAAAAGTTTCATTTTCAGATTGAAATAACTTGTGAGTTTGTTTTCCCCTGGAATGGAAAGGAACATTCCTTTTAACTCGTATCACCGCAAGCATCGACATCTGCTACACAAGGCAGAGGCCTTGCAGTGATCTGAGCAGTGCAGGACATCACTGGCTGCCCCCAGGGTGAAGCAGCTCCCCACAGGCCCCTGTAGCTCTTTCTCAGCTTGCAGTAGCTCCCTCTTTGTGCCAGATGTTAGTCAAGGCTGATGGCTGCTGCTCAGCCTACCTCCCCTCCTGGCAATTGAGGTTGACCAGTAATTACCGATTAAAACAGTCAATCACCCCAGGATGATGACAAGTATCTGGCTATGAAGCTGTTAGTGCTGCCAGTCCTTGATTCTGATACTGCAGTACTGGATGTTTGTTCGCATTTAACTGACTCTTTTTCAACTTGCTCCAATATGTTTTAGCAGTTTCTTTCCTGCTTAGCATTAAACTATACCTCAGAGACAAACCCAAGTATAAAGTCTGGGTCCAGAATATCTAATACTTTAGAGAAAGGAAGAGATCTGAGTGAAGGATATAATTTCTTAACTTGGAACCATCTACCCTTAAATCTCAATAGGATTAGCTTTCTTGGCAATAGGCTTGCCAGAAATAAGGGGATATAAAACAATTTAAGAGATTTTTGATGTTAACTATGAAGTTAAACAATCGCAGGAGCTGCGGTATATGTCTTGGTGACCTGTCATACACCCCTGGTGATAAGAAGAGAATTGACACTGAAAAGATTATCCACGACGTTTCTCTGCAGTAAGATGCCATTACCTGTGGGAGTAAGGTAGCTCAGAGCTGGTTATTGAGAAACAGTTTAAGGCAACATAGAACAGAGAAGTAGCTGGCTTTTCCAGGCTGGAAGGAGGAACAGGCGGTCTTTTGGGGACACTGTAATAGAGAAATGGCTCTGAGTAAAACCATGAGATTGTGGGGAAGTCTAGTGAAATAAAAGGAGAAGGAAACAGGAATTATATTTGCAGTGGGAGCAGGACTGGTACACAGAGATTAGGACATCTTGGAAGATATTTTCATTTGCCTGCCATGGACAGACCAATGGCAAAAGTCAAAAAGCCATTAAAATGCTTTTCCAAAATTCCCTAAACTATTTAGTGACAGTTTCCAAAGTTTATCATTGTTTTCATTTGTTAACAGATCAACCTTGACCAGGAAATGCATATGTATCCTAGCAATGCCTCAAAGAAGCAATTGCATCTACCAGTAGCTTGCCTTCTGAAAAGCTTCAGACCTAAAGCTTTTAAGGGTGATCAGAATACTTTCCAACATCACAGAACAGCATAATTAGGTTAGGGAAGACCTCTGGAAGTCATGTGACCCAGCCTTCTGCTCAAAGCAGGGCTAGTTTTAAAGTTACCTTGGATTGTTCAGAGTCTTGACCAGCAAATTTGGAATATTTCCAAGGATAAGGAGTCCCTAGTCTCTCTGAGCATGTGTTTCAGTGTTTGACTACCCTCTCTGTGGAAGTTTTCTTGCTTGCTGTAATTGCAATTTCACCTGCTTCAACTTGAGCCCAATGTTTTTCTTCCTTTCACTACACACCTTCAAGAAAAAGACCAAGAAGTCTTCATTTTCTCTCTACTCTCCTATTACTTAGTTGATGGA